ATAAAATTACATATCCTTGCATTATATTTACTAATTGAACATGGTTAATTATTTAGCACTTGAAGTCGTAAATAACACGATGGTCGCTGAGCGATTTTCGCTATCAATATCAGCGGCCGGCGAGTGTTAATTTATTGTTTTCTAGCAACGTCAATCTCGCTGATTGTCGTTATCATCAGCTGACAGCCGGCCCACGCGGAGGCGAGAGAAAATTTTCCAGACGCGTCTAATCATTACGCGCTACAAGAGCTATCTCGAGCAGGAAGAAAGCGCACCGCTAGAAGCGCGACGTGCTTTCACATAAATATCCGCTTGATAAATGTACCGGCCGAGGCGTTATGGATGGAGAATATTAGAATGGCACATGGCGATGGGGCCGCGCTCCATTGTAGGTGTATAGCGGAGATTAAACGCGATTCCAATCAGGACGATTCACGCGGCCGCGCTTCCGCGTCCTTGGACGGAAACGTTGCGCTCGATCCATCAACAATTACGGCGATTAAAATTCGTAGGGTTGCACGAGATACCAAGATTAGTCTTGATATTGTCTTGTCTTGTCTTGAATTTCAAGACAAAATCAAGACAAGATTTTTAATTAGTTATCAAGACAATACCAAGACTAAGACTGTCAAGATTATTAGTCTTGTCAAGATTATTGATTCTCAAAAAAACTAAAATATTTATATTTATAAATGAAAAAAAATCAATATACGAATTTCAAAAAATTTTATTCAATAAAAACATTTATATTGATAAATTTAAAAACATTTAATATTAATACTATATAACATTTTTATAAATTAGAAATCAAACTCGCAAATTTTAGACATTAAAGAGCATTTCACCCAGGAATTGATGCACATTAGTGCTTTTAAAGACTTTGTAATCTGGTTCTATTTTTTGACATAGTCAGAGTTCCTATTGAGAAAAGTCTTTCTATTGGCACGGACGAGGCAGTTGAACTTAAAATGTCTCGAATCATTTTTAACAATGTGGGATAAATATGAACTTGCTTTTTTTACCGCTCCAAAATATTTATATCTGCACATTTCCTTGGAGTCTGTAAATAATTATTAATTTCTGTTTTCCATGAAACAGTAAATGTTTTTTTATGTAAATAAACGGCATTTATATCGATTACATAGTAATAATTATAATTAAAATATAATACAATAGTAATAATTAATTCAAATTATATTACAAAAATTATGTTAAATATTATTTAAATAATTTTTTAATATTAGATAAAAAATTGTTAATAAAATCGAGACAAGACAGTACAAGACGAGATTTTTGCTACCAATATTCACTCAAGACCAAGACAAGATTTAAATTTTTGAAATTTTCAATTCTAATACAATATTTTTACGAATATTGTCTTGTCTTGGGTCTTGTGCAACTCTAAAAATTCGCGTGAACAATCGGCTGCGCGAACGGGAAAGTCTCGTCGCTTTGTTGACTCGTTCGTCAGGGTGCGAAAGATACGTCCAGAAATAATCCGCGATATATAAGGTGTACGGATGTAATAAATTCCCGCTTAATAAAGCGGTGATTATAATTGGTCTTTTAATTTCGCAGCATTCAATATTATCAAATTGCAAATTAATAATATTCTTCGAATTTCTTATTTTTAATCTTTTCGACGATATATTTGTATCTAAATAATTTTAAATGCGGATACAATTAATAGTTTATTAAAAGGAAAGTTGAGAGATGTTTAAAATAGGGTGTCTATTGCTTGTAAAAAGAGGAATGTCTGGAATTCTCAGGAATTTTTTTAAAATCAAGGAATGCTCGGAATGTTATTGAGATTCGAGGAATTTCTTCAAAAAAATCCTTTCTTTGTCAGCAAGCCAAGTGAATTATGTGTTTAAAATATATTATGAATATCTATACTTATTTATGTATTTACTTTCTTACAAAATATCTAACAAAATACTGAACATAAAGTACAAGTTTTTTATATTTATGTAATTTTTAGTGATAAAAGAAATGAAAATTTTATGTAAGTTTTTTCTTAGTTTATTTACAAATACAGCACTTGAAACTTTAGAGGCTCTATGTTTTTCCTTTCAATAAAAAATTAGAGAGCGTAATAAAAAAATTTATTTTCGAAACTTGCACCAAAAAATCCTTAAATTATTATCCTTAAAATATTTATTTTAACAAAAAATCCTTAAAATATTTATTTTAAATATTTTGTTTATCTGTAATTTTGAACAGAAACTCCTAAAAGATTAGGGAATTTTCAGGAATTTTTTTACAAGATTGAATATATATAGATACTCTGTAGAGAGACTTGGAAAAATTCATTTCGCGTTTTAGATAGTCACAAAATTTCACGGCACGTGCAACTCACTCCCACGTGGCGAATTTGTACAATGGACGTAAAGGTCAAGCTTTCGAACATGCTCATTGTGTTAACGGTTACAGTCGGATTATCCGCGAGACGAGTTCCTAATTGCTTTATGAGCGTATCCGCCAACGCCGGGATTAACCTGTTGGAATGGACTGGTCCCCGTGGATAGATCAGGGTATTTCAAAGCCGCCGGAGAGATTGGTCGCTGATAATAATAAACGGGTTGACACGTTCGAGACAGTTATATCCCGGTATCCCACGCAACGCCCGGCTGCATTTGGCCCGCGGCGAACAATGTAACACCCGCGTAGGAACAATGGGAAGCTCGTGCTCGCGATGATTGATCGTCCAGCTGGATGCATCCTCCACCATCGTCCTATCCTGGTGGCTCTTCGTCTTACGCGATGGACATCGCGCATGTCGTTGTCTTGATGAGTCTCGCTAAACTCGCTGGTTAGGCTAACTGCAACGGCAGTTTGCATACGCATGGTTGCCTATAAATTTCGCTCGCTCGTTGGAGGTAGTTGCGGTTCCAAGACTCCCCCTGTTTCTCCCCTTTACCGAGTCTCCATAATTATTTCCTAGCTCGCAAGACTTTGACTGAAGACTTTTCTTTTCGTCAGTTTTAATCCTTCCAATTTCCAATAGCTTTTATCTTTTTTTTCTTATTTGATTCTTCGATCGAGTTTGATCAGAATTCCCGACTGGATCGCAAATCGTCTTTCTCGATTTAATCAAGCTTATTCTTTCCATCCGGTATAATTTGATACGTCGATACGACGGCTAAAGAGTCGGTTTCGTCCGGTCGCGGCTGTCTCGTGCGTATCGAGATCGCGTGGGTCGACTGCATCGAGGGACTTATGCAAATTCAATTTAACTCGCCTGTGCAGCGAAAGAGAGCTAGTCAGTCTCGGCTCGGAGATTCTACACATGTATACTTTGGCGTGTTATTATTGAGAGAAAAAATTATTATGCGTGTGTGGACTGTGACTTTTCATGGAATACAGCTTTTACATTATTATTAGATATAATAATCTTGACTTTTACATTATTATTAGATGTAATAAGGTTGGCCTGTTTAGGATTCATCCACTATTTTCCATCAGCATAGGGAGAATATTATTTATCAAAGGGATCTTGAGGGATGTTGTTATCATGATTTGTCGGTATCGTTTTTGTGGAAGCCGAGTCGAAAGTCAGTATGCAGTGCATTCCTTTGATCAGCAAGCGGCTATTTAGCGGTTCTTCGTGACATTTGGTATTTCCATTGAGCGAGATTCCAATATTGCTCTGTAATCTATGACTGTATTAAATAATTAGGTGTAAGGTCTGAATAGCTCAGTAGTTTAGAGCTATTATCCGGAAAGCGAAAGACTCGAGTTCAATTCCCGATCCAGCCACTTGCATCTCACATATTTTCTAGTCTGTAAATATTGTTCTCTAGCAATTATTTGTTGGGCTGAAAAATGTATGAATACACATTTTTAGGATATGCGAATGGATTCTGCTGCTTGTTGATCAAATGAAGATAAACACGCCTGATCCTCACATACATACATCTCTACCTTTATTTGGATTACTAGATACTATTTGATTCAACTTAACGAAAAATTATATTTCGGGTGTGAATCCAGTAATTTGCTATTTGAAATTAATATTATAGCATGTTATTCGGATTTACACTCGAAATTAATTTTTATTTTGCACTAAATAAATATTAAAATAAAATTGATTAGACTTGATGAAAATTTAATTTGAAGGTTAATTCGGAGAAATTAATATATTAAATTATAAATAAAATATAAATTAAATTATATAATTCGGGAAAATCAATATTTAATGTAATATTAAATATATATTAATTTCTCTGAATTAACCTTCGAATTAAATTTTCAAGTTTAATCAGTGTTAATATCTATTTAGTGCAAAATCAATTTTATATCTTTCTTATATAATTTTAATTACTTTTATAATTCATACTTTTATATAATTTTAATTACTTTTATAATTTAATTTATATTTTATTTATAATTTAATTTATATTTTCATATAATTTTTAATTTTAAATATAATTCCTTTTATATATATATTAAACGCATTTTACAATCTTGACGAAGATGTGTATGCATTATATTCATAATGACAGCGTGTGAGAGTGACTTGAAGAGAGAAACAAAGATGCGATTGATAGCTAAGTAAAACGAGAAAGCAAGAGAGAAATGCACGTTGAAATCGGTTCGTCTTAAGTCGCGGCAGCTGGTCGGTTCCCTCATTTTATCTCGCATGACGAGCATCAAGGACCGCCAGCCTCTCTCGTGTAACCGCTTCATTATATGCGCCATTTTAAAAATACGTTCCGCTGGTTAACTGTACGCGTGAAATATCCGCGCAAAGGTTACTCTCTATCGTCGACAAGATTTTGCGAGTTTCTCTTCAGCCTCGATCGAGGGTGCTTATGTTTGAGCGATGCTGACTTGTCGTAAAGTTTCCTCTTTAAACTCGTCAAACATGCATACGGCGATGTTATTTTCACGAGTTAGATTATATTTTGCCGAAGAAAAAAAAAGTGTCGCCTGGTGAAAAAGATTATCTCTCACGACGTAACGTGTTTTTAACGCTTGAAATTTCCGATTGTCTTCAGGAGGAAATTGGCGAGATAATCGAATCGGCTCCAACGACTTCGCTTCACATCGCGGATGAACCAAAGTACTCGACTCAGCCCGAAAAGTCGTCCAATTACGCGAATGAACCGTTCACTCCGAGATCCTTGCCGGCCGCGAGGTCGCACGGCTTCGTAAGGAGACAAAATTCGTTGACGAGGGGTGAGGATATCGGCGATTGGTCGAATAATATCCTCGCGGAATTCAATAGCATAATCGCCAAGGAGATCAGCGAACTGACCAAAGAGAAGAAGAAGGAAGCCGACGACGACGTCCGGGTGATACAGTACAAGGAGCTGCTGAACGAATTCGGGTTATCCGACAGCGAGAATTCCGATCGAACGTCCAGCGGCGAGCATCAGCCTCCTCAGGACGAGGGGAACCTTCGGGATCGCAGAAACGGACGACTGTTCGTCGACGACGATTGTCGCTGCCTGCTGAATTCCGATTACGATGAACCGCACGATCGAGTGATCCCGGAGAACAGGAAGAGCGACAGTCTGCCGGAGAACCTGCAGGACATCATCGGCAAGCGTGGTCGGTTTTATACCACGGATGGGCTAAGTTCCGACTACGACGAGCCCAGCAATTGCCTGCCGATGAACTCGATCAGGAGCCAGATCGATCGAATCACCTCTAGTCTACCGTCCAAGCTGGAGCGCGGGCGCGCCCCGCAGGACGCGCGATTGAATCCTTGCCATGCACCAAAGACACCTGTAGGATTAAGCTCGAGGACCAATGAGAGTATCGGCGTGGACATCGGGAGATCGTTGAAAGGCGCCGAGGAGGAGCCTGAAGAGGCCGGCGCGAAATTGCCGCCGCGACAGCGATCCGAGAGGAAGATAAGTCTGCCTGTCAACTTGACGAAGCGTAGAAAGGCAACGCGCCTGCAGAGGCTCCGACGTGGCACGGACGATCAAGAGACGATGGATCCCGATTACGACGATGTCTTCGTGAACGAAGAGTTCAACGGCAGATCCAGATCCTTGGACAATCGCGTGCCAAAGTCGGCGCCCGTGACGCCAACGGAGGAAAAGAAGCCGCCGTTCTCCAAGTTGCTGAGGAAGCGGCATATCTCGATGTTTCACGAGAACTCGGACGACGTTGTCCTGGTGAGCGTGTCCTCGCTGCCGGATCAGGATCTGTTGCATCTGAGAAGCGGCAAGGTGAACTCGAAGGAAACGTTAAGCAAGAAGAGGGCGGTATCGCCGCTGACTCTACGCTCGGATATTACTGCCAAGAGACTGTCGGAATCGGACAGAGACGTCAGGCAAGTTAGTCCGGTAGACTTGAAGAAGTTCTCCCTAGTGCGACCATGGGGCAACGACGTCGCGATCAGCTGCGACTTGCCCGAGAATGACGACATCGAGGAGAATTGTGGGATCGAGAATGGTACCCTCGCCAAATTGGAGCACGTTGACGTGAAGAAGATTATGGAAGAGCAGAACGCGAGAGCGGGATCCGTAAGTTTTAATATTTAATATTTCTATGATTAATTATTCCGTTATTATCAATGTTGAAATTAATTATACATTGCTTGTTATTGTAACATATACGCATATACGATGCATATGGACGAGATTTCAAATATTTCAATTGTAATATTTCAATTCGTGAGAATTATAATCCATAGATTTAAATAATGATTGATTCGAAAAAATACTGTGTGTGCATAAATGTATAACTATCAAAATAATATAATTTTATAATATTGTAATATATTATTGTACTATAATATTATTATAATATTATGATATTAAGCCATTTAAATTAATGTACTTCTAAATAATTAATTCTTAAATATTTAAAAATGATAAAATAATGGAATAATTAAAAGATAATTAAATATAATCATAGATATTATTAAAAAATATTATTATTATTAAATAATTAAATAATTAAAAATTAATCCTTAAATATGAAAAAAATAATTAAAGAACTAATTAAAATAATTAAATCATAGATATTATTACGTTACGTTACTTTTAAATCAGCATCAAATTGCGTGCATTTACAATTACAATTGCAAAAAATGTACTTTAGATGACAGAAAGGGCGAGATCTGATTACTTTATTTTATTCCACTCGCAGCTGCCTATTTCCCTGCAGTCCCTATTGTCGAGGATACGAAATGGTTCGGGTTCTTGTTGCCCGAACAGTCCACCGATAGTGGACTCTCTCACTTGCTCCGACATGGCGACTCAAACCTCGCCGGCGATTTCGAGAAGCTCCAGCTTCACCTGGGTCAGCGATTGCGACTCTCCCCAAGGTAATTTTCGTATCATTCCGAGTCTCTCTTTACACGATTCGCTTAATATATATTCATAGGATTAGTTAACGTCCGTGAAATTTACTTCCGTCCTGATTTTCCGTAATTCAGTGCACGACTATTTCAAGAGTTTTTGTTAATCGATGACTTACGTCTAATTAATTTTCTGCTTATCTTTCACATCTATTAAATGGATATCTGTTCCGGATAATTTTTTTTATATTCAAGTGGCACAGAGAGAGAGAGAGAGAGAGAGAGAGAGAGAGAGAGAGAGAGAGAGAGAGAGAGAGAGAGAGATAAAAGAGAGAAAGAGAGAGAGAAATGAAATATTATAGTTTTATATTTTACTCTCTCTCTCTCTCTTTCTCTCGATATCTTTTTTTTCATCGAAAAATCATTAAAAATCAATCAAAATTGATAAAGTATATAAGAAAATACGTGTATATTATTTTGTAATATTATTAATCTATTTAAAATTATATTTAAGATTTCTATTCCTATTCAAAAAAATTAAAATTGTAAACAAAATATATGTACATATATTCGGAAAATACTTTATAACGTAAGATACTGTGCTATAAAAGTGTAACAAGCCCTAACAAATTCGATGGATGTAATATAATAAAAGTAAAATTAATATCGCAGACCTAGTTATATAGTTTGTTAAATCGCGTTTCTCTTTATTGTAGCCGAGTCCCAATTAGATTCGCAATCGTTGCAAGATGAAAGCACGTTAGACCCAGTTTCTCCTCAAGACACCGTGGACGACGACAATAGATCCTCGTCGTCGTCGCAGGACCTCTTGCAGAGCATGGACGAGATTTCCTCCGGAAGTCTGTCGCCGGATACCACTGACAGAGCGTCTCCTCTCGAAAGCGGAATTGGAACAGCGAGTCCGCCCAGAAGCACAGATCGGCGCTTGACTAAACGTAAGATGATAATACTTTACTTCTAAAAATTTAATTTGAAGAGAGATCGCCATATTTTTAGTTTCCAGCTTTGTAATATTTTATTTCGTCAAATGTAGATTATTCGAGATTATTTTAATGGTTTATAATCAAAAAATTATATTCTCATTCATGTAATATCATATAATATTTTTTTAATTTTAATATTTTATTATTTTATTTTTTTATTTTAATATTTTTTAATTTTAATTTTAATATTTTTGTTATTTTTTACGATTACATTGTTGAAATAATATGAAAGTTGGTATTCGCTAAAATCTGAGATGCACATCTGCTTGTCTCTTTTGCGTAGCGTTAACACCGAACAAATGCCATCGCAAAGAGACGTGGGAACGAATCCGGCGACGACCCTCGAAATTGAGCTCGCGAAGTGACAAGAACTCGCAAGACGTGTGGGTCAAACGCGAAAGCGTTCACACGCAAACGAAACAGAACGACGATCAGTACTTGCAAGATGCGGTGGACAGCAGTAGCGGCCTCGATGATTCCTTGCCGAGGATCAAGACGCCCAGACCCACGAATTTACCGCTGTGTAAGTGATAAAGGACATTTGGAGAAAATTATAAAATATTTTATATAACATTTATATAACATTTTTTTAATATCCCATTCATCACGAGAGAGACTTGATACATCTTTTTCAATTCTAATGATGAGCAAACTATTTTTGAAAATTTCTTGCAGTTTAAAGAGACTCGATTCGAAAATACCTTACATTATTAAGATTGTTGACATTTTTTATGTTTACTAATTTAATAATTTTTAAATTTAAATTTAGTTTAATAATTTGTTTTAATGTTTACTAATGATAAAAATATTTCCCCTCTCTCGATTATCCATAAATAAAACTGCTAAACGATTTCTATTAGAAGATATTTTCTCTATATGAAATGGGGGCTGATTAATTTTAGCTTTCCATGGGACACCTTGTAAATTAATTACATATGTTTTAACTTAATTCTTCGATTATTATTATTTTTTTTTGTGATAGGCTTGTCCACTACCGCGAGCAGTTCCTTGAGCTCGGGCGAGTTGCTCGAGACGCCGCCCCGAGCGCCGTCCTCGCCGTCTGCGGCGAGTCTCCAGCTGAAGCCAGAACCTCTGGCCGTGGAAATGGGCGGAAAGAGCAGCAGTGCACCGTTGTTAGAGAACAACGACACGGGGAAGGCTAACGGGAAGGTGCCGGTGAGTCTCTCTTGTCAAAGATCCAAAAAATCGGATCGAAAAAAGCAAATATATACTCTGTATTCAAAAAATTCCCTCAATCCGTTCTCTCGAGATCCGGACATTTCGCGCACTGAGAAAAAAATCTGGTTGCATTAATTAGAATTCTGATAGATTCAACCAGTATGTTTGTTGGAAAATGGACGAAGAATTCTTGTAAGAATTACCAGATGAATCTGATCCTATATTCAAGGTCTTATATTCAAGTTTCAGAATTTGTTACAGCTCTTTAGTCACGATTCAGCAATTTAAAACGAGCAAATTAACACTCATGATTACACTGAGAAAAAAATCTGGTTGCATTAATTAGAATTCTGGTATTGTTCTTGCCATTTCGTTGGGTGCGAATCAAAGTTCCAATAGAGTCCGATTAATCGAGAAAAACATTTGAAATTATTTTACTTATATATTAATAATAATTAATGCGAATAAAAAATCTCTTAAATTGACGATGTCAGATAATTATTTCTGTGAATACTTCAACATTCATCGGAATCTAAATAAAATTAAAGCTATGCAGAAATCATACCAGATGCAAAAGAATGCAGGAAAAAAGATCCAGTATAAATGCATTGAGAAAAAAATCTGATTGCATTAATTAGAATTCTGGTAGATTCAACCAGTATGTTTGTTGGAAAATGGACGAACCAGAATTCTTGTAGGAATTACCAGATGAATTTGATTAATTTCTTCCTGTTAAATTTACCAAATTTTCTGGTTAATAATACTAAACTCACCAGCACCAAGTCGTCTAAAATTTTTTCCATATAATCTGAAAAGTCTGTTTAATATTCTGAATCCCAACACGATTATTGCATAAAATTCAATCCAGATTATTGAATAAATTATTTTAAATTCAATTTGTTAGAAATTAAATTGATAAACAGTGATGCAAGAAGAGGATGCAGCTCAAACACACACAATCAGAGAGCTAACGTCCTCTTTCTGGCACTAGTGCTCGTAAGAGAAAAAAATATACTTTGGATTTAATGTTAATATTAGTTCTTTATATACATATTATGGCAAATATTGAATACGAGTTAATTTAAGAGTGGCAAGCAAAGAAATTAATGTAACAAGAAATTTTATAAATCCAACCAAATAAATACTAACCAAATCCTTATAAAATCTATTAAAATAGTAAATAATAAAATCTAATAAATTAAATCTAGTAAATTAAAATAATGAATATAAAATCTATTAAATAATGAATATAATAAATATAAAAATAAATGAAAATAATGAAAATAATAAATACAAAATCTATTAAATAAAATCTATTAAATAATAATAGTAAAATCTATTTAACGTTCTAGATATAAAAAATCGAGTCTTATCATGATAACTAGAAATTCTTGTTTGATTTAATCAAAATGCCTTCAATCATACATCTTGTTGATACAATCAAACAATTTTTCTCAGTACGTGACCGATCTTAATTACCCGAGCCAGTAGAACGTCGAAGGTAACAATATACCTTCCCGGCTATCCTGCTTTAATACGCGAGCGCGCGAGCTTACGTAAGCGAACATCGATTGACGTCAAGTACGAATCGCGTCCCTTAAATAATATCGATAGCCAACTCGAGCATGCCTCGTGGAACGAGAGGCCGGACGCTTACATCGGGTATCGTCCTAGACACGACGGCGGGCATTAATCGCGCGGCAGCGGCGCATGTACGACGCTATCGGGATATCGAGATTATCCGATGCACAGGGTGTACCTTGGATATACGTCTCTCCCTTCGGCCTCGGCCGCGTTCGGCGATCCGTTGTGTTTACGGACGGTTATTAGTCTCTGCCCACGTGGTGCGCGTACGTCGTTTGACATTGATTATCGCGTCCCTCGCGCCCTGCCTCGCCTAGTCTAAATGTCGTGGACCACGAAGAGCGTCGTAAGATCGACATTTTGTTGCCGAGTTACGTGTCCCTCTTCCTCGACAGGTAAATACTCACCTGTTTCGCGAGGGACGGGAATTTCTCGCCAACCAGCTCGTCGCGTGGGAACCGGTTGAGCCAATCTGCTCGTTCAGTTAGGCGTGTGCACCATTGATCTCATGGTTAATCGCCCAGAGGAACAATTAATCCTCGCGATTTATTATTAATGAGAAAAAAATTATTTGCTATTCGCTCAACTTTCACATTCATCTGTCAAAGTCAGCTGCGTCAACTTGCGTTCGTGGATTTGCTCAAATTTCCTACATAAACGCCATACGTATAATATCGGTAAACGGAAATTATTATTTAAAGCGTGAAATTTACATGTAAATTTCTCATTAGCAGTTAATTCCAACATTTGCATAAAAGGACGCGACTCTCAAGTGGAAGTTGATTTGCGCTTAATTATTCGAATATACTCCTTTTACGGACTCACCGTGAAAGTAATGGACTTGACCGATAGAAACGCCGTTTGCCCTATTAACATCGGCAATTAATCGTTATTTGCGAATCGAATTTACCTGGAGTAAATGGACGAGCAGTCAGATAGGTCGCGCTTATTGTTTCCTCGACACTCCCGTCTCGAGAATCGTTCTCGAGAATCGTTCGCTTCATGCGCGACGAATATCGCGCAAGGTCAGTCTTTGACGGTAAAAGCGGCGCTTCGCATGAGCGCACCCGATGCTAGAGAGACAGGAGTCAATATTCTATTTGCCTGGAATATATTCGGTGGCAACCGGTAGCCCACTTGGATCGCAAACCTAACGTTACCGGGCTCGCATTCGTATTCTGTTTGTGAATCCGATCGTGGCTCTCGACCTTTGACGCACGCGCGCATTTATCCGCGCATTTATATCCCGGCGGTTTTCGTTGGACGCGGCGGCCGCGTATGCAAATTATCAATGAAGTGTCAGTACACGAGGAGATTCGCGCTCGAGTGAGCACGTTGCCTCTCGGTAAACACCCATCGCGCGGAAGTCGCGCGTGAACACCCGGTACTGGATCGTCCGTGTTGGTGAGCGATCAAAGCTAATGGGGCAGCCAGCCGTGGCGGCGTATTAATCGGTTGGCATCCTCGGATCTTGAATATAGCCACGCCGTGTGGTCTATCACGTACGCGTGCACGAAGGCCGCTGGAAAACTTGGGCTTTAAACGCGTCTCTCTCTCTCTCTCTCTTTCTCTTTCTCTTTCTTGCTTCTCTTTCTTTTGGAGATTGCGAATGACGCACAGTTGCTCTTTTCCGGATCCGGCATCCGTAACGAACCAAATGTGCAGCCAGGAACGAAAATTTTAATCGACCAATTTCACAAGCGTTAACAATTTATGTCTTACAGACGGTTATTTTTTATTTTTTTCCTTGTTAATTCTATTTTATTCTATTTAATTCTGCTCTATTGTGTGTTAATTATGTTTAATTTTATTTAATTTTATTCTGTTTAATTTTGTTCCATTCTTTTCTTGACAGTTAATTTGAGAAAAATTCAGTAGAAGTCGATATAAATATATTTATTCTCTCTATCTTGAGGATGTTTTGTACCTATTTTCAAAATATTGAGAATTTAATGAAAATTGTACAGAATGTCCTTACATATGTTTAGAATCTTCAGTACATTTTTTAAATCGATTCGCTAAAGCGTTCACAAGTTATTATATAAGGATTTTAATTTGCAGCGAATTAACATGTGTTGTTATGGGAAACGTATAATCACGTCGATTCAAATGACAAAAACACATGGAAATAATATTCAGAAATGTTTAAAATTTGCAAAAGTTTAGATACAGAGGAAATATTTGGTCAAATAATATTATACAAGTACTAACTGGTTAAAAAGATATTAAATATAATTCAATGAAATTAGCCATGTATCTGTTACAAGGCAAAATTCTCTGCCAAAAGTTAATCATTTCGATTAACAAAATTCGGAATATTTCATAAAAAACGCAATAAATATTAAAAAATACAATTCTGCGCTGTAGCTGAGATCAAATTATATTAATCAATTATCAAATTAATATTCCACACAATTTCTCATACTCAAAATACACTAAAAGTGGATATTTGTCAATATTGATTTTCAGCTACTTTTTGCTGGGATTGTAGATACAAAACATCCTTAAATATCCTTAAATAAACTTTTCAAAACCATTAAATCAATCTTTAGTATCTACAAATGAAAATAATTTAAATAAATTTATAATTTTTTTTCTTTTATTAATTTAGAAAATAATTTAAATTATTGATGTTAATATATATATATATATATATATATATATATATTTTTTTTTTTTTTTTTTTTTTTTTAATATCATCTGTTGTTGATTTTTTCTTTTATTTTTGTAGGTCCTAAAGAATGATTTAATTCTCTGTTGATGTTTTCGTAAAATATTATTGTCTATTTTTATATAAACGGAAGCGTATGGTAAAATAAAATGCAGATCGGGGATATATTTATTTTCGAAACTGCCAAGACACTGCAATGACGCACTTATGTAAAATATGCTTCTCGGAATATAACGGTTCAGAAAGAGATACATTTGTTTGAGACTACAGAGAAATTTTCAGCAAAAGTATGGCATATCTCTCTGCGTCTCATTGTTTCATCTCGTATCTCGTTTGTAGGCGAAGATCCCGGGAAACGATATAACTTTTGTTTGAGAGTTTCTCGTGGGATTGGCTTTGAAGCCTAATAAATCGTAAAAAAGACAAATATGTAGCCTATACGGTTCTGTTTGAAAAATATTCTACGGCTAGAGTCTACGACTTTTAAATATATGACATCGATACCTGGAGATACTCATAATTTTCCGCACATAATAAAATTCCCTTCTCACAATCACACATTCGTTTCGTGATATCGTCTTTATTTTAGTTGCGCCTCGTTTGTATCATTTCGCCATGAAAGTTTAATAATTGAATTTCTTAAAATAATAATGAGAGGCGAAATTAAACAAAGAAGAACGTAAAAATATATAAGCGTTCTCTCGAAAGTCGTATAACAATATTGTACTTAACATTAATTCACTTCATTAATTTCTTAATTTTTACGTCGCTCCTTTCATTTTAATTTTACGCTTAATGATTCTGTGCAAAGGGAGATGAATAATTGAGTTGACGATGCCCTTTTCGGAGAACGACGAATCGCCTGTGAATTCTTAAGGTCAATTACGAGCTTCTCCATTTTTTTCGTGAATATTGGAGAGATATCGATCGATATATGGTCGACGGGGCACGATGTAGATAAGGTCACGGTTGTTTTCGAGGTCGACTCAATATTGCAAGTGGGTCATGGCTCGGCCGCGTCGATTATTAGTTATCTTTTGTTCTGCCAGAAAGTGGAATATTAGTTAGAATCCCCGATATAAGGATTACGATCGCGTCTTTTGTGTCCGCGCAATATTATCGGGCAATAAAACGTCTCTGAAAAGTTAAAGAACCGGTTCTTTTCCGATATATAATAGTATAAAATTACGTTATCAGCTCTTAAACGATTAAATTAAATGCACACTAATATAATATCTCTGTGTGCATATCGTAATTAGGAATTCACTCGGAATCTCTCGAGAGACGTTTCAAATAGCGTACGTGCCGCGGTTCTTCGAAACCGGCCTATCTAGCACCGAGATATAAAACAGGCTCTACTAGTTCATTAACTAGTCGTTAAACGGAAGAACCAATTTATTTCGAGCGATCCTTTTACCGCGGCAATAGTTCGAGAAATATTGTCATCGCGCGGTACATCTGACTGCAGTTAAATGCATGATTCGCGATCTAAAGGCGCTCTTTCGATCCTTGACACCCGCAATTTGCAGGCACAATTTGCAAGAGTCTCTTCTCATAAAAGATACCGACACCAGAATTTAGGGAGAGAACCTTTATTTTTATATTTTCAATTATTAATCTTGAATATCTTTATATATTTTGAGAGAATTTTATCCTTGTAAGTCAAACAGTAACCTTCATTCACATTCAACCTGAATAATATTTTCTCTTTGCTCATGCTGTTTCACGTTTAATCGTTTAACTTGGAGCTGTAATAGCGTTATTATCTATTATTATTTCATATATTTCATATATTTTAATATTAATTAATATTAAATACATTATTATTTTACCTTATCAATCAAATTATATTTTGAATTTTCAAACATATTTATTTTATTAATCTAAGCCGAAGTTCAATTGAATTTTCCTTGGTATTTATATTAGTTAAATATTATTTTTTATATACTTTATTTTTTTCTCTTACAACTTACTATAAATATTTGAAATAAATTAATCTTTTAAATTTATCTTTTATTTTATTTTTTACACTTTAAAATGTGAAAAAATAAATATTATAATATTATTAATAATCAAATTTTATTTAATAATTTAACTCGTTTGTCATTAAATTAATTAGATGATTATTCGACAAATAAAAAATTTTCTTAACATTTAATTTATTTAAATAAATAAATAATCTTCATTTAATTTATATTTTGAAAATATAATAAGGAAATTAAAAATTTTCAAACTTGAAAAGATTTTATTGTATATAAGAAATATAATAAAATATTAAATAAAATATTTTCCGTTATTTCTCAAGTCAATGACATATGTTCCCCTGTTTTCAGAGCTTGCAGCAGCAGCCACGCTCGCAGTCGGAACGCCAACTATCAGGTAAGTGAACGACCATTCTCACTCGATCATTACACGAACCTATCGAAGTCAATACTATAACAATACGTTTTCCGTAACTTTTATTTCTCGGATGCACACGGCAAACTTTTAATAATCGAAAAAACGAATCGATTTAAGGTGATACTGATTGATTATCGCGTAGACTTGAAAAGAATCCTGCAATCAAGCGAGAGTAATTATTTCAATTTCTTGTGCGTTTAATTAATTGAATAATTGAAAATAATTAAATTAATTGAAATATGAAAATCATTCGTGAGCTGTGCACGTGTTTTATAACGCGATATATTCGTTTTTGCTGCTTAAAGAGAGATGGATACATGCGAAATGAGGGCATAATTAAATGTATATTAAAAAATGCCGAGAAATTATGAAATTAAAGTTACATAAATTAAATATTGAATTATACACAAGACTTATTAGTTTTAAATTGCAAATTAAATACGAATGAAAATGCCTTTTGTTACTTAATTCGTGAGGAATTCGGTTATCTCTAAAACGGAAAACGCGGTTTCTCTGAAACACACCATGTATATAATGTTGGCGAGCTCGCATTTGATTACATTTGAACGATAATTCGATCAGCTTACGACGCCAATCTGCCATTAATTTGCGCCACCCGCATGGAAATGCAAACGATCCCGGCGCAAGCGAAAATGGATATTGACATCTTTGGTCGTGCGAACGAAACGATCAAACTGCGACTGCGATCGATCGATGAGGCCGATCTCCATCGAATAATATATCGGGTCCGATAACGAGTTTAGCGCGTAATCAATTTTCCTTCGCAACGCAGTCGAATGCAATTTGCGGCGGCGCGTTGGAAACAGCGGAATTTTCGCCCTCGGACCCTTCGCCGGTGATACATTAATGCGGTGTCTGGGAGTTCATTACGTGAGGGGATGCTCCGGCTAGACTTAACGCGCGTGTAATATTCTCAGTTGCGTAGCACGAAATTAATTGAAGATATCCGCGTAATTTTCTCGCAATGTTCAACATTGCGCCGAGATTGATCAAGTTTTGCAGAGATTACCACCAAGTCTCTCTATTTTTATTAAGCAAGTGAAACATAATTTCTAGGAATTATTTTAAAATATAATTTCTGAAATATAAAATAAGATATAGTCTAATATTAATCAAATTTTTGTCGTACTTAGATTTATATTTATGCCACATTTATCTTGAATTTATTTCAAATAAATAAATGTATAAAAACGAGAGAGGTGCGCGTATGAGATATAAAAGGAAGAAAGGGGTTTAATTAACTTCTCTATGATAATGTAAAAATAATGATAGATGTCGAGAGAGACCCTCCCGATATCGTGTTCTCTATCGCGCTTTATATGAAAGTTCCATCGCTTCCTATCTGGAGCTCGTGCGTTTGTATTGTGTCGAATTCGATCGCGAAAGTTTAATTAATTATCGACGCGAACTAATTGCTTCTCGCGATCCCATGGTGCGACGTGATTACGACTTCCGGTATGGGCACGCCCTAGGTTAGTACGCATCTATGGATGCACCGGCAAATGCACTTTCCTTCTCGCCCGCGGCGATTTAATCGGCAACGCGCTAATCGAATAAATCTCGCGATAGAAATATGGCGGATGAAAAGAAGCGGCTCTCCGTGATGACTCGCGACAGAGTGGAAAATAGGTACCTCTCTGCCGCCTTGAACTAGAAAATTACTTCCCCTGCATCGCCGGCCTCGCACAAGATATTTATTACCCGATGTAAAAATAAAAAGTTTGCGCCATATTTTCCTCAACGGTCAATGAAGAACTATCGATTTTTTTTTTCACCGGATCATGTGTAGTACAATACGTCGTGAAATTTAATCGCAAATGACCGAATTTTCTTCAAAAATTGCGCAAAAAGGGAAAGGTAAATATTGAGTTTTTTTTTATTTAATTAATGTTTTTTTTATTATCGAGAAAATAGTTTATTTTTTTTAATACGATGATGCAAAATAAATATGATTTATTTCGTTGAATTCTCCGGTGGTAAAATCAATCATTCGAGAACACGTCTCGCGCATCAAATCGAATTAATACCATTCGAATTTGGTAACATAAAAGCAAATAGAACAATGGCCTAGTGAATGGCGATAAAAGATTAGTTTGTTGCCTCTCCATTGACGATTCGAATGAATAACCACTCGCGTATATTTACCATCTTTCTGGTTATTTTTTCATAGCCAAATAAACTGGCGGAGAAAATCGCGCTTAATTTACACTGCGGAAAATAATCGGCGCGAAATAATTCGAAGCAATAAATTATTTCTAAGAATTTATAGCCGATGGCACTGCAGCGATGATTGTGATTAACGATCAAGTTTACCGTTGATGTAAAGGTCTTGCTTCTCGTATTTGGATGGTGAAAATCACATTTCCATAAAATATCTCATATTTTTCGCGATAATTTTATTTTAAAACGACACGGGAAAGAATTTTTTGACGTGTAGAGAGAGAAAAAGAATACGATTTTTTAATTGAAAAATATATTTTAAATTGCACGTATTGAGTACGTTCATAAATTGCTATCTCAAAGATAGAAATTCAATGAAATGATTGAAAACTTGTTGATGAAATTTATTATATTTTTCTCACGTGCGAATTTATAATATCCTTTAACAACACTTAGTATTTATATATTATTTGATATAATATTATCATTTCTCTTTATGTTATTAATATTTCGAAGCAACTACAGACAACACAATAAATATCAATACATTTGTTGAATTTTATTGTAATTCCATCAAATAAAATGGCTCTTATATAGTTTGCTTCAAATGGCCTAGAAAGCCACTGATAGGATACACGAATAGGAGGAACTGGGACAAATGACAGTTTGAAAAGCGCGTTACAGTAATATCGGATTAATCCTTGCCAAGAAAACTAGAGCAGTATCCTACAATCGTACGTATATGTATACCAATACATATACATGCCATCGGGAATGGATCGATATTTGAAACATGACAAAAGAAAGCTTCTTTCGTCAACATGGAAACGTATTTTTATAAACTTCTTAATATCATAATTACAGACTCTCAGCCTTTCTTGCAAACTTTTCCAATTTAAAATAATACGAAGACATCTCGGCAAATTAAAAAAATTATCTCTCGTAATTCTCATTAATTCTTTCAATATTATCGATTGCTTTTCAATCTACATCGTTTCCATCGAAAAGACACACATTTAATAAACCGTGCGATCGCTCGAGCATTACATAACAGAATCCTTTCAAAGCAAGGACACTGAAATCGCATACGCAGATTCGCGATCATCGATAGGAATTTTTACGAATTAATCGGAATCAGGCGTTTGTGTGCGCGACACCGGCGCATTTGACAGATGATTCGATCGGTTCGCGAAAAAAAAAAAAAAAAAGATAATAAAGCGAAAGGAGGAGCGGATCGCGCGGGACGCTTGCGCCGCGGCGCCGCCGTCGCCGTCGTCGTCGGCGGCGGCTTTTATTCCATCCTCCGATGGAAGTCGTCGCCAGTCGTCGCTATCACAGCCACCGCGGCGTTGAACCCGCAGTTTGCGAAGTGGCACTCCGTTGCACGCGGCTTGCGCGAGCCGACTGTCGCACGCGCGCGTTTAATCTCCCAGGTGATCGCCCAGAGGTATATAATTAATAATCGGCCGCGTCTCGGAGAGGCCAGGGGGAGCGATTGATCCGAGCGATCATAGATGGATTTTGAAAGAGGCATGCAGCAGGATATATCCTGGTCGATTTAAATTCCTTAACCCTATCGGTGTGAAAATGCGTGCTCCTTCCTTCTTACTTTACGAGTCAGTCTTCGAATTTTTATTATGAAAAATGTTCAAGTGCGTGGGAGAAAGTAATTGTAGATCGAGTGTTTTGTTGGGACAAATTTGCTACTTTTGCACGTCATTATTAGAGAATGTTTGACGCGTTTAATATAGATTCCATTTTAGAGGGAAGAGTTAGGGGGACGAAACGATATTTTGCAGCAGCTGTTTCTTCTTGGAAAAAGTGTTTTATAATTTTCGGACGCAGTCCTGTCAAACTCGCGCGCCCGCGCTTTTGAACAACGCTTGGTATCCGTCATCCATCACCACTCGTTGACGTAACGCATTAGTAATACAGATATTTAAAAATATTTGTAGTTGTCAGTGATTAAGTTTTGCTCGCTTCTAATTCGGAGACGTAATTTCTTTGTAATGAGCGATCAAAAATTTTAATAATTTCTAGATTGTTGTATCAAAATTTAATATGTCAACGAGTAATGGAACTGTCACTCTTTTGAAAAATGAGGAATTATCAGGAAAGTTTTTTGTGTTGAAAGAAAATAAATTATTAAAATTTTATTAGATTTTTTAAAAAATTTTTTATTATATTATTATTCGAGCGATAAATTGATTTTCCTAGTAAAAGATATTTAATATCAAAAGTTAAAATCTCTTAACAAAATAAGCTTCAAGAATTTAGGACCAGAATATAATATTTTTATTAATTTTATTTTATTTAATTTTTTTTAAGAAATAAAATTATATATAATATTATATATTAAACATTTTAGACTTATTACAAAAAACACAAAAATATAAAAAATATTGTTCTGTAAAACATGGATAGCTCAGAGAATTATAAGCAAAACGACAAGTTTTTATATTAACAAATTTCGCTAGATTTGTCGGAGATTTTTCCAATGATAGCCGGGAATTTCGAATACTTCCTCGATTTTCGTAGTGCAATCGGACTTCTGTATCATCTGTTCCCCTAAAATACGCGCATCTGGCAGCACTTTCATACAGTTTAATTGCAGAGATGCGGGGATCTTCCCTCGGATTCCTCATGGGCTGCACCAAAGAGCAAGTTTTAACGGAAACGGTGCGCCGTAACTTTGTTCGTTCCCGCACTATTTTTATCCGATGAAATTTCCTGCGCTAAAAATACGCCAGAATCGCGGCGGTCCTCGTCGCGAAGTGTCCATCGAAGCGTGACAGCGA